TCTGCATGAAACGTTTACTGGGAGATAACATGCATTTTAGACTATTGTCTCTTTTTAAGTGTTGCCATATTTATTCAAGAGCAATTATTCCAGCCAGTATATAAAATTGTACTGGGTGCGGATGTATACATTATGTTTGACATTCTAACAACAATCTATAATCCAGCCAGCTAGACAAAACATGTATGTCAGATCTGAGGATTAACTTGCCAAATTCTTATTATTTTCATTATGCTCACCTGTAATTAAACATATGTTTCAATTTATCTGTACCTAAATTGATGCAATTTCCTTTGATTTTTGCCACACCTTTAAGGCTTAACAGACTTAATCATCTCTAATGATTAGTTAAAAATAGATTTCATGGGAATTTTACGTTTTTTTCTATCCAGTCTCTTTTTCTTTAACAATTGCCTGCAGGAAGCTTCCTATCTCCATACTCAAACACTTTAAATAGCTTTATAATAAATAGCAACTAAGATCTGGTGACACAGTTGTTCCATCCAGTGCCTAAGGTCATTTTATTTATATATGACCTTGACCTCAAAAACTTAAAATGCATTGTTATTTTACATTATGTTAAGCTGCATTAAATATATACAATTTCATATAATTGTATAAGACAATTTTAACTTATTATTCCTTGGAACAAAGTCCCTGTTAAAGAAACATAATTTATGTACTTAAATAGTAAGTGACCTTGACCTCAGTATTTATGTTTTTGTGCACTACTATAGTTTTTATATTGACATTATCTTGTAGTTCATAAGCTTTTTAACAACAGACATGATTTTCACATGACAGGACTGAATTTTTTTTAAGATTAATGTAACATTTGATAAAGGCCTGGATAAATCACTTCAATGCAAAATTTGAAACTCAAATCAGTGTCAAAACACACTATTTATCTTTTCTTGATTGAACTTTGAGTATATTTTTGTAATATCTTATGCAATGTTTCATTTGTGTTTTAAGTGCCCCAGTTGAGCTGTGTAAGAATTTCAAATTTTAAAGGTTTTTGGAATCCATTGGAGTTCCTATAAACGAAACAAAATCCTACAGACAGGAAAAAAAAAACATTTTCAGGGCACCGACCTTGATTTGTATCAATGGTATGAGAACTTGGGCAATGCCACTACTTTTGTTTTTAAAAAAATAGTTAAGAATGCACCATTAACATTAATTACAAGTCCATAAAAAAAAAATGGGGGCTTCGTAAATTATTCAATAATGTCACAATTATCAAATTATTAATATAAGGACGGTTAACATAAATACAAAGTCTGGCCGCTATATTTTTTAGAACGTACGAGGGATTAAAAATTTCATCGCGATAAAACAAAATTAAAACGCAAAATAATATAAAAACCGCTTTCCATCAATGCAAGTAAAAATTGAAGAGGGGGAAAACCAACAGCAGCTCGAGAACTTATTACAGATTGCAATGAATATGAAACCAGAGCTTGCATTAAAGTAAGCTAATGTTCAATTTTGTCTAGCAATTTTTGTACCTTATTATAAGTGCACAGTCTGGGTCCTCTTATTTTTTTAAAGAAATACAAGTTAGTGAACTTAATACTGCTGTAAACAAGTCTGCAAAACATCTTAATTTTCTAAAAGCAGAATGCAACTCCTTCATATTTTCATGTTAAACCAGTTGACAACTTTTTTTACCTGTAGCTTCTATTGTTTGAGTAATAGTTATTTCACCTTTTAATTAACAACAGTAATATTATGTGTACTTGGACCCATTATGCCCCATAAATGCTTTTTTTTTCTTGAAAGCCTTTAAAATTATTTTTGGTGTCTATAATAGTTTCAAAAAGTGACTTATTGGCCAATTACCTAAATCATCTTTTTCTTTTGTTCGCGGCCTTTGGGTAATTAGTTCAGTTATTTAGAATTTTGTATTGAAGTCAAAACACTAATTCGTTTACATTTCGCTATTTATTATTTACCACAAATTTCTATAGGTAACTAGCATCTAATATGCTCTTTAAATGTTTAGATATAAAATTTACGTTTGCCTTTTCTAAAGAAGTAAAGAATTATTCGTTTCTGAGGCACAATGTGTTTTAGCCTGATTGTGAAGACTGAATATACCTATACAACCCGTGCTGCAACCCAAAATCAGGCCCCCCAATTTTTTTGGGCCCTTTTTTGATTTTTTGTTTTCCCTTTCACAAAAATTTTGGATCTTGAAAATTTTTCCTTAAAAAAAAGGGTTTAAATCCTTTGAAATATTTAGCATGGTAAGGCTGAAATAAAGCTTTTGAACAAAAGATGACTGTGCAATATGTATGCATCCCAATTATGGTAACCAACCTTACTTCGCACCTTATCAAAATCTGACTACTGTTTGCAATCAATAGTAATGAAAACCACCAAAACCTTTGACATCAGCATGGAGTCATCACTCTACCATCCACATAAAATAACTATACCCAAAGCATTATCTCTAACCAATTTTGGTAACAGTCACTGTGAACACCTTGACCCTTGACCTTTCACCTACTGACCTTAAAATAAAGATAAGTCATCTACAGGTTATAGCCAACTTCTCCATTGACCCCCATGTGATCCAGGGACTGCAGGGCAGTAATGACTGGACAAGTTTTTTTGTTGACAACGTTACAGTGACCTTGACCTCAGAATCATTGATAGGAGTCCATTTAGTTTCTTTTAGGGAGCAAAAGTACAATAATGAATAATTTTAGTTCAACAGAAAAAATCTGACCAGGAAAAAAAAGAATATTGATGTTAAATCATGAGCCCATAATTTTTTTAAGGAGTGCAAGCATAAATTTTAAGGAAGCTAAATAAACCTTTCTACCCTGGTATCTTTAACCCTACTAGTTTCATCATTTTTGATAAACTATTATTATCAAATCGTCTACTGCATTCCATTTTTAGCTGACCCAGACAGCTATTCATCAAGACGGTGATAAATTACCTGTCTAGTTTACCATATCATATCATAAACTCAAGATACTGACCAACCTTTGTTAAACTGTATCTTCTACCCAACTACTACAAATTTACCATATCTATCTTACTTTAGGAACATACACATGTGTGTACAATCGTTAGCGGGACATTAGTCGTTAAAGGATAATTAAGCTTCTCTAGTTTGAGATAGTGCGTGCATGGGTTTGAGCCATACTTAGGGCATCACTTCTTTAAGTATATACAACACCTGAAATTGTCAGTCCAAAAGGAGAATAAAAAGAAAATGTCTAAACCATTATTTTATATATATCGCGTAGAAAACTTTAATACAAATATTAAGCAATTTATTAATGCAAGTATAAAAGGTTAACCCAAAAATCAAACATTATGGCAGAAACAACATGTTTGTTAAGCTGGCTTGATGACTGACTGACTGGGCTGGTTCGACTGACTGGCGGGCCTGGCCTGAACTGACTAACTGGCTAACAAACCAAGGTGTAACTTTAATCTATCCCTGTGGTCTTAACACCCATGAAAGCAAAAATTCCTTTGGATGACTTTAGGTATAATTACACTCCACTTTATCTTCACTAACAAAACTTCTCAACATGGACTAACAAAAACCAGTGGCAAATGGTGTACAGTTCTATAATCCCAACTTCTCATTGGAAAATGCTATGCCAAGAAACTCAAAAAAATTTCCAATCTCAAACCCTTTAAGTTAAAAACCTTTCTGCAACAAATATTTTTGAGACCTAACAAGATGACTTTATTCACAGTATTGCTCAAAGAGATTTAAACATTTTTCTCTAACCCTGTTTCAACCTGATTTTGTTTTAATTTTTCCTAACAATTCAAAAAAAATCCCTTATCACATCTTCATTATTATATTATTCCGACTGAAGTTAATTTTTATGCTTCAGTTTGATTGAAAACTTAATCAAATTTTCAGAGATGATTTTTCTAATGGAATCTGGAAAAGAAGGATGTTCATTCAACTTTTTGCCAACTGAGAAGTCCTTACTAGTAGGCGCCGGTTATCCAGCAATTTTGGGGAAAGGCCCCTTGCATAAATTGGGAAAAAATATTCAACATTTTGGAACATTTGAGAAACTTTAAGTTTAAATCTATGTTATACCTGACTACTTCTAAATATTTTAACATATCATGTATGATCATACAATCTATAACTTTTTTAAGAAACAAATCAAAACTTTTGTCAAACATTGACACAGATTTTTGTTTAGAAAATTGGGAAAAAAGGGGCTATTTTGGATTGGTAATGAGCCTTTTCTTTTTGACCCTTTGGTGATAAATTGTGAAAAAAAGCCCTGCATGGGTTGGGTTTTCACCGAAGGGAGAAAAGAGTGGAAAATAAACTTATAAATTTTCATTATTTTCCCCTTTTCACAAAGCTGTTTTGTTTTATTTGATATGCAAAATTTTTTTAAAAAATTTAATTATTAAATAATACTTAATTTCACCACATTAAACTAAAACCTTTTTAACATGTTGTGATCTCATGCGAAAATTGATTCCTATACTGCACTCCGTATAATTAATTCTAATTAAAATGGAGTTGTTGCCGTTGACATTAATAAGTCACACAAAATACAATTGTTCTAATAATACTTACAGTTGCTGATAAAACATGCACAGATCAAGAAGGGGGGGGGGGTTAGGGGGTCATGACATCTTGAGATATGGATATGAACTTAAGTTTTTTTTTACCAAAATCAAGCAAAAACTTTTCAAAAAAAATAAAGTCTAAATAAATAATAAAAGTCTCTAAATAAAGAGCTAACTAGTGAAAATCTGCAAAATTTTTACCCCCACCTCTCCAGAAAACACTTTGGAAAACTAGCAAAATGTCAACGCCACTCTGGAACCTTCTCCGATAAAATATTCTTGGATCCGCACATTAAAGGAACACTTTCATTGACTATATTATACAATAAGTGAAGTCATGTTTATATGAAACATTTTCAATGACGCTTCAATTTCAAAACACAACTTACTGTAGTAACTTAATAAAAAAGAACTTTACTTACAGTTATAGTGGTGAAAGTCAAAGTGCACAGTAAATCCACTGGAATGGTTTTGCAACCATATATAAGTAATCTTTACAACATTAAGCTTCGAATGAAAGACTTTTGGGCTTCCTAAATTATATGTATTTGTACAAATTTGTCCTAAGTTCTCGTCACTGTCACTTTTCTCTTTTAACACAACCTCTGGAGGTAAACACTCATCGGAACTGTGATCTGCAGTATGCTCTGTCCGTAAGTTACCGGTTGTCATGGAAGACTGTGACCGGAAGCCAAAAAAACGGGTAAAATTCAGCTCGATAAAATTATTCCGTGGCGCTCTAATATGAAATTCACACTGTCTATATCCTTTTTGTTGATACTGTAGAGAAAGGGCTCGAATCTCGTCCTTGTGAGAGTATGTGAAACTACAAACTGCTGGAAGTAGAAAAAGAAAAAAATGTTTTAGCAACTTGATATTGTATAGAACTATGATTTCATTGCGCAAACTTGTGCGCATGCATGCATCATTTTTTTGTTTTTTTGGTTTGCAAGATAATTACTATTTCCGCTGTGCGAGAAAACATCACTGAAAACAAACAAATAATGTCTGCATAATATCTGGTCATTATTATTATTATCTAATTGTGAAGATGTCATTTAAATTTCAGCAAATTATTACACCTTACAAAACACATGACACAACCAATAATAATTTGTAAAATAAACAATTTAGACTGTATTTGTTTTTTATAAGACGCCATTAATAATACAATAAATCTGATCATAAATCCAGACAAAAGATAATCAAACTTAATTACTTCATGACACAACATTTTCTTCCCCTCTTCTCCAAAAAAACGCAAAAAAAAAACATTATAAAATTGCATGTCTGATTTGCGGAGACCAAACGTAGAAAGATAAGTGCATGTTACGTTTCTTTGTACGACTGCACCAGCCAATAAACAATGATTCAGTTATGCTATTCTTAAACTTTTTATTTTGCCTGTCTGCACAAATATTGGTGTTAAATCTAAAATGCCGTCTTGGACACGAAATTGCAAAGAAGGTTTTGCATTCATTTCCATCTTCAAATTTCCACAGAAATTTGTGTAAAGTTTTCTTTCTTCTTTTTTTTTCATATATTATCAGTCAACGTGTTTTTCTTTATGCACATTCACCCGATTAAATTATTATGAAAATTAACACTATAATAACTTTGTAAATTTTCCATAAACAGCAATGTATCCTATTGCATTTAATGTATTCATGTTGAAAGCTAAGCTTCATTAAAAATTTGTGGTTTTATATTTTAGATGACTTTATTACGCTACTATTATGGATAATTCGGCAGGACCAGAACATTTCGATATCTATCTTTCAAACTGGTTAGTCCAAAAATTCTAATATTTTATAAGGAATCCCATGATTCATATAGCATCATTAATGCAAAATGTCTAAACTACTGTGCAAATCTTACAGAAAAAAAATGGTGAAAAGCACAAATATTTGCTGTCTGGACCTTATATGCTACAACCATATGCAATGTAGTCAAAATATTACTCTGTATGTACCATTATTAGCAAAGTCTTAAACCCCTGACCCAGGTGACTTCTTGTACCGACTACTGAACTTAAATTCTGATAGTCAAATTAAGGGTGCTCATCATGGTTAGTCAAAAAGATTTTCAGAACAAACATGAAATTTTAACAGCCAGCAGTCCACCTAGATGTCACAGAAAAGTCATCTTTGCACTTTATAGAGTTGATACATTGATCCATATATATCAAGATCAAACATCTTATATTAAAGACGGGTTTTGCTTTTCCAATTAATATTGAACTGAACTATTAATTTCATTAATGACCCTGTAAAATGGACTAGTGTGAAGGTATTTTACTATTAGGATGTGCAATGTTAATATTAAGTATTGCAAAATCAGAGTAATAGTGTCATTTGCTTGCGCAGTCATGACTCAGAAGTAGGATTGGCTCTGCCAAAAACAAAATGGTATCATTAGGCAGTGGGTATTTCTCAAATTCTACAAAGATCAAAACAATGAAATAATCAATAGCTGATGAGTATTAAGTGTATGAAATATCTTTGGGTGCATGTCTTAGAGTCAACACCATGTCTGCTTATGTCCAAATGCCAACATTAAGAAAGAAAACAAAGTAAATGTCTGCAAATATTTAGGATAGAAGCTTGAATTGTTAGATAATAATGTCATTTTTTTTTTAAATTTGATTGGGTTTTTAGCCGCACCAATAAAGTATTGGTCATTATGGCCACTTTCCAGCTTTTAACTGGTGGAAGACCTCAAGTGCCACTCTGTGCGTTATTTCAGGCACAAAGGGGCACCTGAGTAGAACCACCGACATTGCATAAGCTTTTGCTATCTGGATAGCTTTCTCACATGAAAGTATCGAAATACGGTATATCAAACTTAGCACCAAGAAAATATTCAAACAGAGCATTTATATGACATTGTAGATGTCATTTTTAAAATGCAGATGCTCAAACTAGAAGACTGAATATGTAAATGTGGCTGAAATTTCCGATTGTCATTTTGAGCCTACTATCCTGTATTGTACAATTTTTAGACCTGTGAGAATGTATGTATTGTAAAAGTCGGAGACTGCTATACATATTTCCCATTTTAACTCTATTGATTGCATTTAATTAAATGTCTAGACATGACTTAACATGATTGGATGATTCTAGAAACTGGAGAAAAAATAGCTTTGATGTCAACAGGTTTTCAGCAGTGTTGTCATAGTTACCTAGTGCTGTGAGATTTTAAGTGGGCAGTAACGAAGTTATAGGTGTTCAAATTACCGGACAAAGTGAAGATATTAATGCATGTGATTGGTCATTCTAATAATTATGATTATGTTGAGTGGCGTATCAATAATGACTTAAAGCTGTATGCCTCCAGATGAACCAAAATATTTCAAGAAAATCAACTTGATAAAAAAAAGTACTGAGATTTTAATTAAAGTAAAAAGATTTAAGGTAAAAGTAATAATTTCCATTTTAAGTGCGATTTATGACTGATTTTGCAGTAAATTTTTACCATACTCTATTTTTGCATATTTTTACCTCTTTCGGGTAAATTACATGGGTTGTAAATGCTGTTTGCAATGTGAAAATTATTTTCTTTGTTTACTTAACAATACTTTACTTTCTAATACATCTTAAAAAATTTCATGAAAATAAGCATGAATCTGGAGGCATGCTGCTTTTACAATCTGTCATTCATTTAGTAATTGATTTACAAATTAATATATTACTGTCTCAAACTCAACCTCTTTAAAATTGCCATATAATATTATGTAAAGAGACATTGTTAGGAGCTTGCAAAATGAATTTTTGTATAGTGTGAATAATTCTGTGATGACTGCTCAAATAGAGAAATATAATTTTCTTCAAGAAACACAAATCAATTACACATCACTAAGTAATATCATCATTGTGCATAGTGAAATAGAAATAATACAACTTCAAAAAGTTAAAATGAAAGTCTGTTAACAAACAATTATTATAATCAAATGCCTTTAAATAATCACTTCTGAAACTTCCCTGCATGACCTGTTTTATAAATAAATTCCACATTTAAAATGATTTACAAAATAAACTATGTATAACCAAAGAAAAAACAACATTTCTACACACCTTGAAATACTGTTTTCTATTCCTTAACATTTTTTTCCATATTTAATGATATATATACAGCAAATATTCCTTGTACAGTACATGCAGTTACAGTATCATATATAGAAAATGATCTCTAATCACTATACCAGACAGATTTAATCTCATTGCACCTATTGACCTTTGTTAATTGGTCAGTCAACTGTCTGGTCAATATATTACCTGAGGCATAAAAACCAGTCTATACCATCATAGATAATTGGTCAAATCTAAAAATAGCACAATCATTTATTTATCAATGTGATTAACCCTTACAAGTGATTTTTTCCTTCTATCAGCAGGGGCTGTTTATATGTGTCTTTGTCTTCCAACACCCCACCCCCTGACCCCACCCAATTTCCCACTTCCAAGATCACACAATTTCCCCATCTACATCAATTTTTTTCCGCTTTTGCAATATAAGATGCAGTTTATTTTTTTACCCAAAACTTTAAAGGAACTCCACTGGGGTCCAAAGGCCTTAAAAGACAAAAAATTTGAATTTCACATTAGCTTGGACATTTAAAACAGAAAAATATGCATTTTTCACTATTAAAATCATTATTCAGGGAAAACAGAGTGAGCGAATGATCACAAGTTATTGGTCTAACCCTACATCAAAAGTAACATTAATTTAGAAAAATTATTTTCAGTCCAGCTATGTAAAAAAACCTCAATGGAGTGAGTCCCTTTAAACAAATTCTACCTGAATGAAAAAAAAAAGCCAGTTAACAAATTTTTTCCAAAATATAAATTTAAATTTTTAAATTAAAATGTTGGGTATTAGGGTTTTAAAAAATTAAAAAATTTAAAAATTTTAGGAGCCAGAATTTGTCTAAGCGTCTCAATTTACCGGGTCCCAGTCAAACCCCTTTCTTGTTACATAGGGCCCCACTTTATCTGAAGTACCCAAAATAATAACTGGGACCCCTTTTTTTTTTCATTATTCATTTTTTAGCATTTTTAAAATTAAAGGGCATGAAAAAGTATTGGGAAAAACTTTTGACCTATTTGCCCCATAATTTTTTTTTATTATTAATTCATTAAAAATTTAAGTGGCGGTGGGGCCGGTGTTTAAAACGGGGTCGATAAAATCAAAGGGATTCTGACGTTGGGTTAAAACCCCTGTCAGGGAAAAACCCCGTTTTTTCCCTGAGCAAGAAATTTTCATTCATTGTTTTAGACGGGTTTTGGTTCCGGGAACGGTTTTGGGAGAGTTTTTTCAAAAAGTTAAATAGCTTGAAACACAATAAAACTAAAAAAAAATTTTATATCCCAAATTTTATTATGCATGTTTATGTTTTAAATTTTAAATTATAAGGGCCCTGAAATCTTTAATCAAAGGATTTTAAACATAAAATTTAACTTTTGCCAATTTAAACACTTAACATATAGCATTTATACTAATACATTGTACATCATGTTACTTTTCCCATTAGATAATGCTGTAACAATGTATTTGATAGAGTTAGTGTTAGACCCATTGGGTTCTAGTTTGTAAATATGTTTTTGGTTGTTGTTTTTATTTAAAAAAAAGTATTTCAATTGTAATTGGTTTTCATGCAACATCAATCTGTTCATATTTACCACAGAGTGGTTTATTTATTTTAGTTGCTTGTTTCCCTGATCAAAGGGTTATATGTCTAAGAAAGGTTTTAAGGCGACTACTCTGAGTCACAATTATAACAAGGCTCCTCGTCCAAATGCTACCAGACAACTCAACTAAAGATCTGCATACAAAGCAT